ATCGCAGGGGGATTGGACTGGATGGGCTTTAGTGGGCCCTCCCCACCCAAAGCAGTCTTTGATGAGCCATACCATTTAAAACCAAAAATCCTCGCCATCTCCTGCCCCTCCCCAGTGGTGCTGACCCTGCTCCAGCAGCTGTGGTGGGATCCCTAAAGCTGTCACATTTGGGTTTTTTTTGCCCTTTCCATCTGCACTCCCTGTCATGCGCCCGTGGCCTCGCAGTGCTCCCTGCCTCAGCCCAGCCGTGCAGGGACGCCGTGGCCTTTGGGGGCTGATAACATGCATAGCTCATTATTTTAAATAATCTAAAATAACTGGTACAGACAAGGACTTGTTTAATAAATCCTGGCTGGGTGGCGAGCATGAGGCAGGGGAACAACCAGAATCTCTCTATGAACAGTGTCTTGCACCTCCTCCAACTTTGACCTCATCGTTAGGTGCATTGATTTATTTATTGAATGTGTTTGCTTTTTCCATGACCGTGAGCAGTGTGTTTCAGGAATACCTGGCTCATGTGAAACCTGGTCAGCCCCAACCCAGCCGGGTTTTTGCCACGCTGCCAAAGCTTTCCTGGTTGCATGTGCTGTAGAGGTTTTTAAAATAAAAATTTGTGTTACTATATTTTTAGGAAAGAGATCTCTGTAAACATCATCTTTTGTGATAGTCCAATCCCAAATGTATGGTCATGTGTGTTCTCTCTGTGAGCACCTCAGCTAGGACAGGAAAATTCTTCCCTGGAATCATAGCTATCACATTGGCTGGGCAGCGGCCCAGGTGAGAAGCTGGGCTGCAAAGTCAGCTTGGAGCAGTGAGAGGTGACTTGGGCTTCAGCAACAGAAAAGATCAGCTCAGCACCTTGGAAATGTTTTTAAATTTTTAATTTTTTTCTTCCTCTTTCATGTTGCTCCTCGGCACAGTGCCAGGATGGGGACACGGATGAGGAGCGGGCTGGTGGGGGGACGTACAGTGGTGGGACGCCAGCCTTGTTGCGCCGTCATCATCATGCTGAGGGCTGGGCAGGTCGTGCTGTGACCGGCACCAGAGGAAGGGTCTCGGGGTGTGGGCTGGGCTCCCCGGGGGTCTCCGGGCTCTCGCACCAACATTGGCACCCGCGGGCTATTTCTGCACCTCGCACCAGCTTAATTTCCCATGAAGAAGCAAAAAAAACATACCAGTCCCATTTCATTGCCTCAGTTTTAAATATTTATTTAAAGTCTGGGGGAGATGGGGGGAGGGAAGGGGAAGAAGAAGAGGAAAAAAGCTTCGATGAGAACGAACGGTAACTCCAGCCTCAAGAAAACAGACAGAGCTGATGGCGAGCGGGAGCGAGAGGGAGGACCCCGGGTGCGCGTGTGCGGGGGAAGGCAGCGCGCGGGCGGTGAGCAATGGGGGGTTTGGCCTGGGGTGCTGGGGCGAGCCGGCCCGGCGCGGGGCGGGGTATTC